AAGAATCAGAATTTCTCTAAGTAAATCTGATTCCTTTGTCCTGGAGAAAACTTAGCAGGAACCAAAATCAGAGCACTTGATATTCCTGCTCTTGCAAAACACTGCTTCAAGGCCCTTTTGTGTAAAGGTCTACACTAGCATGGACTGAGCAGAGAATGAGGAAATATACAACAATATGTATGTAGACAAATCCGTGTAACTATTTCTACATACCATTATCTCTAAATGTACTCCACTAAGCAAGTATCTAATTTTTTTTTTGGTTTTTACGAGACAGGGTTTCTCTGTATTGTTTTGGAGGCTGTCGGTCCAGCCTGGCCTCGCGCTCACAGAGATCCGCCTGCCTCTGCCTCCCGAGTGCTGGGACTAAAGGCGTGTGCCACCAATGCTTGGTGCAAGTATCTAATTTTGATTATTATGACAGGGGTCATTTCTAGACCCTACTCCTTATCATTTATGCTTCCTGTACCCATAAAAATCTTGGCTTCCATCATCTACCATCCATATACTGAATTGCTCAGTTCTAGCTTATACATATAGTAGTTTTGGAATTATTGCTCAAACCCAGTGGAAAACAACTTTGCCCGTCATAAAACCGTGCTTGTTCACGGTTCCCTAATCTCTAGAACCCCCACCAACTTCCAAATTTACTGACATCAGCCTTTAATGGCATACCCAGTGGGCTCATCCCCACGTATCCATAACATATTCTTGTTTTTCAATTTCTTTATTCTATTTTTAACTTTCTAAGACTCCTGAGTAAAGTTTACTCTGTGCTGTGAAGTGCTATACATTTTGACAAATATTTACTGTCTTGTGTTCACCAGCATGGCATCACACACAACAAGTTCACAGCCCAGAAACATCAGCGCAGCACGCTTCATCTGTTTAACTCCTGCCCATCCTCTGAAAACAGTGCTCTGCATACGTACACATTGCCTTTTAGGGAGCTGCATGTTTGCAAATACATAATATGTAACTTCATACGTCTTAGAAATATGGACCCAAGAGTCATCCTTAGCTTTGCATAGCCTGATGCAAACCTCATATCTTTTCTTTAATCACTGGATAATACTCCATATCATGTGGATGTGATGGGGGTTGCCCTTCTGTATATATGTTTCTCTTATTGGTTGATGAATAAAACACTGTGGCCAATGAGGCAGGAAGTATAGGCAGGGTTAGGAGACGAGGAGAATTCTGGGAAGTGAATGCAGACAGCAGATGCCATGTGAGTCCAGGAGAGTAAGACACCACGTGGAAATACTTAGATTAAAAGAAATGGGTTAGTAATTAAGACAGAGCTAGCCAGTAAGAAGCCCAAGCCACCGGCCAACATTTTTGTGACTAATACAGCATCTGTGTGTCTATTTGGGGCTCAAGGGCCGAGGGGCCAGCTGGGCCAAGAATCTCTAATAACATGGATGTAACATCAATTGTCTGTTTACCTATTGGTTCCTTCCAGTTTATGTCAATTATGAAGGAAAGTGTCATAAAGATTCTGTGTTGGGTTTGTGTGGGTGGATACTAAGTTTTCATGCTCCTAGGCAAATACCTAAGCGTTTCAGGGGTGATATGGTAAGACTGTGTTTCATTCTGTCACCCACTTTGCTTAAACAGCAAGTCCTTCAGCACCCTAATGGCTCAGGTTTCCCCGGTGACTTTCCACTCTCCTTGTGATAAGCTCTTTGAGGGCCATGAGTTTTAGAACTGACATATCTAATTGAACACCTTAAACACAGTAGGACCTAAACAAATATTTGATTCGTGAACGAGCCCAGCTTCAAGACTTTAAATGTAAGCTCAAGGGGCTGGGGTGGAGCTCAGTGACAGAGCATCTGTCTAGCGGGGGCAAGGCCCTGGTTTTAACCTTGCCGCTGCAAAACCACCACAACAAATCATGGCGGCGCTCTAGGCCTGTCTCAGCAGCTCCAAAATGCAATGCTTCCTTCGTTTTAATCTTGGCGGACAATGAGGATTGACCCTAACCTTCGTACCAGTGTAAGTCCCGTGCATCTCCCATACCCACAGCTCATGTGTGCACACTATGAAATTTCTGAATTCAAGCTGTTTGAAAGTGAAATGGCTGAGCCCCGCCCCCCCAGTTTCTTTTTCTTGTGAGGTATGTTAATTTCATTCTGTTGCTGCCATAAAACACACTGAGCAAAAGCAGCTTCTAGGAGGAAAGGTTTACTCCATTTTACACTGGCTTCCAGGTCACAATCATGCATCGTTAAGGGAAGTCAGGGCTGGAACTCAAAGCAGGGTAACCTTGGAGGAATGTCACCTACTGGCTCATGGTGTAACTCACTCACAGCCTTGTGCTTAGCTACTTTTCCTACACAGTCCTGGAGCGCCCTCCCCCCCCCCCAGTGATATTGTTCCCAATCAATTGATGAGCAAGGCAATTCCTCACACACAGCCCACAGTCTGACCTAGGTATTTCCTCCATGGAGACTTTCCTGGCAGATGACAGTAAACTGGCAAGTTGACACTTACAGCTAAGAACAAACAGTGTGGTTCAGGATGTCATTGCAACACAGGGTAAACAATGTGAATGAAAAGTATTGTGTTCTAGGGACAGCATTTTCCTGGCTTGATACAGTTTTGAGCATTCTTTATTAATTTATTTATTTTACATTCCTGATAGCACCGTAAACAATGTCTCCCTACAGTTTCACAGAGTTTTTAATCAAGCAGCTTTTGCTTAGAACTTTAGAAGACGTTTCTCCTCTGGACTAAAGTTAGTAAAGAAAGAGATTTAAAATGAAAGCAATATAGCATGCACTCAGTCCTTTGTAACTAAGCTCAGCCTGCCTCTTACTCTCATTGCCGCTTCTTAGCCTCCGGTAGAACAGTCATTGTGCCAATAATTTTAAGGGAAGAAGATACTATCGGTTTGAGACTTGAAGGGACACGGAATAAGTTCCAACATGGGGAGTGCTGGAGGGAAGAAAGAAAAGTGGGAACGGGATCTAATTATACTTTAGTTAAAATGTATAGAGAAGAAAACATCCCTTTAAAAACCATACTTAGGAAAGGAAGTCATAAAATGATCTAATATTGTGGCTTGTTTTGGTACTAGGAGCCACTGTTTCTGTGATATGTGTAACAAAGCAATCAAGTTCACTCACTGTGATGCATTCACTGTTACTGTGAAATAAAAACTGTGTTTTTACTGATGTAAAAAAAGAAAGAACAGTTGTGCAATGGATATGCTAAAGTGTCTAGGACTCCCAAAGCACCAGATGAACTTCACAAGCATGTGCCCTTTTGTGGTTTCCAATGTCTTGGGCTGGGATGAATCACTCAATGAGAAATACCTTCAAAGTTCTGTACACGCCACCACATGTCACGAGTCTGCATTTTAAGGTCTATTAAACATCCCAAACAACGGCAAGTCTGCTGCATGGGTCTGTTCGGATCCATGTGTTTTCAGAGCAGACCTCAATGATGTATAAAGATCCCCCTAGCCGGCCAAGGGCTCCCCAGCTGCCCCAGACTTAGTAAAGGAACCTCCAAAGGTCGGCAAGCTTGAGCGCTGTTACAAAAAGTGTTGGGGAAAAAGACAAAGCGCGTGATTTTCAAGATTTGGAAAGATCTGGAAGGAGAGGTAACTAGTATATTTGACTAAGATTTTATTGAGAGAGAGAGAGAGAGAGAGAGAGAGAGAGAGAGATGCCCACATGCATGTGGGTGCCTACAAAGGCCAGAAGGCATCCTCTCTCCTAAAGCTGGAATTACAGGCACTAACCCAACATGCATTCTAGGCATTGAATTCTGGTTCTCTGCAAGAGCAGCCAGTGCTAACAGCTAACCCATCTCTCCAGCCCCATCACTGTGCATTAGAGACATACATGGGTTATTCCTACATTAGGAATTGGAGCCAATAATCCAGGGTATTTTTCAAAGACATTTCCAGAATTTGAATACTTACTAAGTGACACCCAAAGGAACAGATTTCACTATTAGCCCTGGAGTTTTCCAGAGTCCTGACTTACACTTTCTGCTCATGCTCACTGAGTGACCTGTAGCCTCTGGCGTTAGGGCGGTTCCAGGCATCTTTGCCGAGGTGCACACGCTTTCCTCAGAGCGGTGTGTTTTTCTCATTCCCCACCACAAGGGAACTGGCTTCGCCAAGGTCTCACTAGACTGAACCCTCTTCTTCCTGCTGATGAACCAAACCTCCTTCCCATGAGTTGAGTGTTAACAATGTAGTTGTGGAACTGAACTGGAATTAATATTTGACTGTAGGCCTACCACAGGGCCTCGCTTCCCAATAAACTGTTGGAAATGTCTTTGGGCCTCAGCTCGTATAAGCCCTGGTGTGATGCGTTGGTGGTTTTGATCGATTTCCACAAAGGGAAAGACTACAGGAAACAAAGGAAATTCTCAGAAGCTTCCGTTTTAGGCTCAAGCCATGGCTTGGTTGGTTGGTAGGTGCTTGCCAGGCCTCGAGGAAACCCTGGGTTTGATGCCCAGTACCACACACATAAACTGGGCAAGGTGGCTCATGCTTGTGTATCTGACTCAGGAGGTGGAGGATCCTGAGTTTGCAGTTGCTACAGAGGGAGTTTAAGGCCAGTCTGGGACACAGGAGACCCTATCTATAAGGGGGAAGGAGCATCTGAGGATAACAAGCCCGATGACCAGAGTCTGATTCCAGGAACTCACCAGATCGTAGGAGAAAAAACTCAACCTGTTAGCTGTCCTCTGACCTTCCCATGTGACCACATACATACGCACACAATTTTAAAAATGTAATAAATAGACAAGTTCACAAAAATAAAAAAAACATCTGCATTAGTTAAGCCCCCTTGCTCAAATCATCCAGTAATAAGTTGTTATATACAATTTTGGGTTGGAGCCACGCTAAGAATGTATACAGGAAGCGAGTGGGTGAGCGTCTTTGAAGTGTCCCCGCTCTCTGATACCCCTTTCTAATGGCACCTGTCTCTGGGTAGCCACACACCCTGGCGCACGCTACAGGGGAATCTTACTGTTTGTACTCGTACGGCCGCTGGCCGGCTCTTTGGGCCAGCCGGATGCTCGGGGCCTCGTCCAGCTGCTTTTGCCGGTAACTGCCCGAGTAGGTCGTCACTGAAGAAGCGGACCACTGAGACTCATCCTCCCACAGTTCTCGGGCCTTGCGTCTGATCACTTCGAACTCTTTCGAAGTGAGAGGGCTAAAGGGAAGCAGAATTTCTGGAGCCAGGTAGAAGAAGTGCGACATAGCTGTGGGTGGACCGCGGAGTTACAGCTTTTCAAGCCCTGCAGCGCTCATTTCCTTCTAGCAGCGGGGAGCTATGGACCGAGGTGACCACACTTCTGAAATCTGACAGCTCACAGAGAGCTTAGCGGTCTTAGGTACAGTTACCAGGCGACAGGTCACAAAATTCCACAAACGCTGCCCCCGTTCCAAGCACGCGGATTGTCTCTAATCTGCAAGTTATAAAACTGCTAGCCGTTGATCTAAGAAACATAATGCTCCATAATTACGGCAAGAAAGCACTAGGCAAAATTATTTGCCTGTTGGTACTAAAATAAATAATGTGTTAAATTTTAAGGACGGTTGCTTAGAAGGTAGGAGCCAGAGGTCAAAGAATGGTGTCCAAGGACCTAGCCTCATAGAGCCCGGAAAACAGCAGTAACTTTTTGTGATGTCGACATCAAAAGACCACTCAGCCTTTCTAGTGTGTCACAGAGCAGGGGTATGCCTGCTGGTTGGGTGACAGAGCAGACTTTCTGGGCTGTTAAAATGACAAGGAGTCCCAGATACAAACTCAGGTTCTGCCATATTCAGCCAGGAGGGATACTGTTAAAAAAAAACAAGTCCTGAGCATTGCAAAGAATTGCCAGGATTAGGACTGCGTCATGGTGAACTCTGGAGCGGAGAAATCCTTGACTCGGGGTTCCTTCCTGCGTGCTCGTTCTCTACACAGTTACTGTCTGTCTCACCACCCTCCTCCAGCCCCACCATCAATTCTTCGGCAAATCAAATGAAACTGAAGTTTTGTTTGTCCATTCCCGAGGCAGCACCCACGCAGCTCTCGCGAGACTGATGCTGCCTCGGGTGATTGCATCAGAGCTGAGAAGTCACACGTCGGAAGAAAAGCTGCGCCCCTCTCTTCAGACACCGAGTCACAGGCAAACCCAGGAAACTGCATTAAAAATTTAGCAGGGCGTTGGTGGTGCACGCCTTTAATCCCAGCACTCAGGAGGCAGAGGCAGGAGGATCTCTGTGAGTTCGAGACCAGGCTGGTCTACTGAGCAAGTTCCAGGACAGCCTCCATAGCCACAGAGAAACCCTGTCTCAAAAAAAAATGTATTTTTAAATTTTATTTGTGTGTATGCACATAGGTGTAAGCCACATTGTACAGTTGCCCGTGGAGGCCAGAAGAGGGCATTGGAGCCCCTGGAGCTATAGTTACAAGCAATTGTGAGCCACCTGACAAGAATCCTGGGAATGGAACTCAGATCCTCTCCAAAGCAGTTTGTACTCAACCAACTAGCCATCTCCAGAGCCTGTGTGTTTTAGTGTTGTCACGGACCATGGCGGAACCCATCTTTGAATACTGGGATTGGGTTCTGAGGACACCACAATGCCTGTGTTTCTCTGAGAGTATTGGCAAATACTGCATAGCATGTAATTTCCAGGGTTTCTTAGAACGTTGAAATCGGGAACATCAGGGCCTTTGTCCCGGGAGAGTCAACAGACTGCAGCCCAGGCTGCTGCTTCTCGGGGGTAAAGGCCTCTTGGAAAAATCCACATGAGACACTAATATGGGGAAAAGAAGAGAAAGACAAGGAAAAGAAATGGGTTGCCTAGCTCTTGTCAACTCCTGTGGGGTCAGGGAGCAGCTGTGTGTGTGTGTGTCACTGTGAAAGACCCCGGCCCAGTATATACAGGCAGCTGAGGCTTATGGAAAATTCCGTTTCCCCCACAGCTCAGCTGAATAGTCATTTTTTTATCAGAAGGTAGCTCAGCTCAAGGTCCTAATGGCTGAATGGCTGAATAGTCACTACTATCAGAGGGGAACTCTGCCCAGGGACACAGGTGTCTGCTGTCTGCATAGCCAGCCCAGCAAGATTGGGCAAGCACAGAGACCTATTGTTCCTCAGATAGGGCCAAGGCCGAGACTTGAGTTCCAAGCAAAACCTCAATTGCCCTCGTTCTGAGCCCTAGCCTCATTTAAATTGCCCAATCAGGGTCCTGTAACTAGGCTTCTCGCTTCTGTACTGCGCTTTTTGCTATAAAAGAACCCCTGAGTCCCCAGCTCGGGGCTCTCAGTTCCCGAGACTGAGACGCCCCGGGTACCCGTGTATTATCAATAAAGCCTCTTGCTGTTGCATCCAAGCTCGTGGTCTCGTTGTTCCTTGGGTTCGGGTCTCCCTTCCGTGAAAGTATCCCTCTTGGGGTCTTTCAACTGAACCTTTGTTTGTTCAAACAAAATGGTCGTTTTACTGTAAAATTCTGCCAGCAATATGCATTGTTCTAAAACGGATAGTAAACAAGACAAATTGTGAAAGACTATTTGTAGAAAATACTTTCAGATTTTTCTCTCAAATTACACAGCAGTCTATAAACAACTATGGAATAAACTAAGTTCTCTCCAAATAAATCACTCTATAAGTTGCTTTATTGTCTCATCTTGTTCTCTATAATTCTTTTGTTTCTATTTTTTTCCTCCTAGAAATGAACATGATACCATTTTAACAATTATAACCACACAAAGTGGTGGCACTTGGACTGAAGATGTGACTCAAGAGGTTCAGGAATAAGCTCTTGAAGCTCCAGCCATCTGGCTTTTGACAGGAGAAGAGGAAACACACACTGTAAAAGGACCACCTATCTAAGTGACGCTGGGAGACGGGCATCTGCACGCACATCAGTGAGACTAGGTCTCCGTGTAAAAGCCCCACTGTGTGCACAAATCAACTGAAATGGATCAAGGACTTTAATGTAGGACCCCAATGTCTGAAACTGAGAGAGCATGCTGGAAACACTACAAGATGCAGGCAGGGTCGAGGCCACTTTGAATAGGATCCCAGTGACTGAGGAAATAATAGCAAGACTTCACAAATGGGATTGTATTGAACCAAAGACCCCAGTGCAGCCACAGAAGCAGTTAGCAGAGTGAGGAGCCTACAGAAAAGGAGGAAATCTGTGCCAGCTACTCATCCAGGAGGCAATTGCTACCCAGAGCACGTAAAGAGTTCACAAAATTAAAACACTAGAGGAGCAAATAACCCAGTCAATAAATGTACAAACAAACTGAACAGACCCTTTCAAATGAAGAAATACAAATAGCCAATAAATGCATAAAAATGTCCAGCACTTTTAGACATTAGGGAAATGCAGGTTAAACAAAATTGGAATTCTATCTTATTTGAGTTGTCTACTAGCAAAAAAACAAGCAAACCAATACATGTTAGCCAGGTTGAGGAATGAAGACCCTTATACATTGCTGGTGGGAGTGTGAATTTGCATGAACGGTATGGAAATCAGTACAGAGGTCCTCAAAAAAACCAGATTAGACCTATGATTGATCCAGTTCTCTACCAAAGGAACCAGATTACCTGCCATCCACACACTGTTTGCAGCAGCCAAGGTACACAGCCAGCAGAGCGAACTGAGCACACAGCAGAAAGTTCACTGAGTCATACATCAAAGCATCTTTTGGGGGGGAAAACGGATGGACCTGTGTATCCTCATGCTGAGCCAGGCTGACAAACACAAGCACACACATCTTCTTTCACGTGTGGGATTCAAGGGTGGGGGGGGGGGGAAGATGAAGCAAAACTGCTGGAGGATATTCAATCACTCTGCGAACCCCAAGTTTGCATTTGTGTGAATTAAATAAAATGAATCTTGGGCCAGGGGGCTGAGTTAGCAATTAGTAAGCAGAAAGCCATCCTGCAGCACCATAGGGATAGAAAGATACACCTGCAGGAGCAGGGAGGATTTGCTTAGCTAGGTGCTACTCATCCTCTCTGAGCTAGCAGGGTTTCACTCCAGCCTCGGAACCTCGGGTTCTATTTATAAATGGAACAATAGAGACTTAGTGAAGGCTGCCTTTATGGGCAGTGGCAGAGCCAGTGCCTTGGGCACAGAATTCCCACCAGACTTGGGACCTGCACAGCCAGGCCACGGCTAGGGAATCAAGCAGTAACTACGATGTCACAATTTCTGACGGAAATAGCAGTAGATTAAGGCACAGCCGCTGTGGCGAAGTTAAAACAATGTAAAAGGGGGCCTGTTAGAGACAGGGAAGGGGAAAGAGCTAGCGGGTGGGAGGGAAGAGAGTGGGTGTGTGTGACTGTGACCAAGGTGCATTCTGTGCATTATGAGATGTTACAACAAGCCCATTACTTCCCACAATTACTAGGTGCTAATACAAATTTGATCCGATAGTAGTGAGACTGAATCGGTGCGTGTCAACCCTGGCTCGGGTGCAACTGTGGATTAGCACGCCCGCCGCTAGACCGTTGGCCGGCTCTGCTAAAGTGAACTCACCATGAACATAGCTCCTGTGAGATCACTTCCCACACACAAACAGCACTGAAGGGTTGGTCCCAGCCCTGCAGTGCTTAATAAACAAATGAATGAATGAGTAGAATTGAATGGTTTCTGTTGATGATGATTTTATTTGTTTTGTTTTTTGAGACAGGGTTTCTCTGTAGCTTCGGAGTCTGTCCTATAGACCAGGTTGACCTCAAACTCACAGAGATCTGCCTGCCTCTGCCTCCTGAGTGCTGGGATTAAAGGCATGCACCATCAATGCCTGGCAGAATTGAATGTTTAATCCGCGTTTAATCTGCAAGAATCCTAAAGGAGCCCATGCTCACTCTTTGCTCGTTTGTCATCCACATTCTCGGACACTGGATCTGGCATTGATTTGCACGGTCTGACTTCGGCATTGGAGTCTTCACTAAAAACTTCCCTCCGGGGCTGGAGATGAGGCTCGGCGGGTAAGGTGCTTGCTGCGCAAGCCTGATGACCCGTGTCCCATCCCCAGAACCCACATGAAGGCGAAAGACAAGGACTAACTCCCCAACGTTGTCTTTCAACCTCTACACACACACTCCATGGAGTGTGTGCCCTACGTGCACTCATACACAAAGCAAAGAAAGTTTTGAAAACTGAAAAACCCTTTGTTTTTGTAATCAGACTGCAGTGAGCTGTGATTCTCTGTCACAGTGTGTTAAACATAACCAAAAATCTGACCAAGACTATAAGGACGTGAACATGAGTTTTGTGAGAAGATGAAAATAGCTTGCTTAATGCATCACCCCATGAGCCAGCAGGGGGCTGAAGTGAACCTCATCGGCAATGAGAAAGCCTTTGGCCGGCAAGCTTTGACCAGGCTCCTCAGAATGGATCCAGTCATTCTAAAGATGTGCGGATAGGCATTAACCTAAAAGGTTCCCTGGTGAGGGACATTTAGAACAGATTGGGTGAAACATGTCCTTAGCTGTAGAACGTTCCAGAACTTTTGATAGTTTAATGGGCATCT